TATATATATATATATAAGAGTGTTTCTTTGAAAATAACTTATTATAACTTTGAAAATAGGCTAATTATTATTTTTTTGGCCCGACCCGATCTTGGCCCGAACAAATCTCTGACCCGACCCGGTCTCTCGGGTCTTACGCTGGCCCGACCCGACCCGAAAAAAATCGGGGACCTGCAGACCCCTAGTCTTTTCCGAGTCTGGCATAAGCTGGCCATTTTCAATAAAATGTCCCAAGAAAGTTATCTTTGTATTTGCAAACACACACTTCTCACGATTCAAAGTGATACCTGTTTCACACAGACGAGAGAGAACACTGTTAAGTCTTTTGTCGTGTTCTTCCTTTGTACTACCAAACACACATATGTCATCAGTTAAATTTACTACACATAACCTTCCAAACATGCAAACATTTTCCTTTGAAAATGTTCAGGAGCTGAGCTGATCCCTAAAGGTAAACGCTTGAAATAAAATCTACCAAAAGGCGTTATAAAAATTGTCAACTTGGCACTTTCACTGTCAAGGCCTACTTGCCAGAAACCACTGTTCGTGTCAAGTTTCAAAAATATTTTTGCTCCTGCCATCTGAGCTAAGGTCTCATCCACAGATGGCAAAATAAGTCTTTCTCTCTCTACATATTTGATGAGCTCTGTAAAATCAACACACAACCTTACTGAGCCGGACTTTTTAGGTACAACAAGCAAGGGAGAGCACCACTCTGTTGGTTCTGTGACAGGTGCTATCACATCAGCTTTTACCAATTTACCAAGCTCAATCTTAACTTTATCCCTGAACGATATAGCGATCCTTCGTGGCGTCTCAATAGAAACTGGGTTATAATCAGTTTTTAACATGATCGTATAGGGCTCGGTAAACCTCCCTACACCTGAAAAAAGCTTTGGATATTTTGCTTCCCACTCGTTTCTTAAACTCACTTCACTAATGTCCTTAAGCAATGAAAATGCTAATATCCCTGTCCTCCCTAAGAGGGGCTCTTTCTGGCTGCTTAGAATGAACACTTCCTCCATATGATCTATATCATCTTTCTTTAAGCTAACGATTGACTTACCAATTACTTTAAGTGGTATAAAATCAGGACCTTTCAACTTGATACTAGTTTTTTTCAATCTTAAGATTGAAAATCTGTGCATGTTGAATGCCAATACAGCTGACATCAGCACCAGTGTTAATTTGGAAGTTAAGATAATCTGTCTCATTAACCAAAAGTTATACATAAAATGGCTGGGACTAACTTATATTTGGTACCCTTTCATAAATCGTAACAGAACTTAAAGCAAATGGATAAACTTTCCTAGATGATGGTTCAGATTTAACCTCTTGATTTACTAAATTGAAACTTTTACGTTTACATGCCCGACTAAAATGGCCCTTTAATCCGCATTTGAAACAAAAACTTTATCAACTGCCAGACACTTTTCCTTGGAATGAAACTGATTTGATTTGAACCATACCGACTAAATTTCTGACTATTGTGATTAAATGCTGAGGCCTTACCAAACTGCTGTGTGTCGCTGGTTTTACCAAACCTTGATGAAAACGTCTTTCTTGTTTCCATGACTGATGTTTCGCTTATCACTTCCGAGTCAGCAGCCTGTTGTTCCATCACTTCTGCTTGCCGTGCCGCTTGAACTGCCCCAGTCAACGTTATCCCATCTTTTAATTGTAGGTGTTTGGATAAACTCTTATTAGACATTCCTGTAACAAGCTTATGAGGTATCATTTCATCATTAAAATGTCTACTCTTACAATTGCTGCATGACCATTCACATTTCTCTGATATTTGATGTAAATCATTATGTAAGAATCAACCTTCTCGCCTGGACATTGGTCTTTCTGTAGAAACATAGCTCGATGGTTAAAATATATTCTTCTTGGTACAAAAATAATCATCAAAAGTTTTCACTACCATATCAAATGAAACCCTTTTTTCCTTAGACATGCCTAGTGACGTTAAAAGTTCGTCAGCTTCTTGGCCCATGCAGTACAGTAACATGTTCACCTGCTGATCATCAGATTTTAAAGCCAACCCAGTAGCTTTACGGAACATTCCAAATACTTTTATCCAGTTTAGCCATGTTGCTGGATCTTGGAAGTTAAAAGGATCAGGAGGTTTGACCTGATACATAGGTTCTTGCCTAGATTTAGCTTCTTCGCTCATTTTCGTATTCAGAACAGAGTTTAAAATATCTTTCAGTACTTCTGGTGTCAATTCCATTGTAAAATATTCTTCTTCAGCCTAAACGCTGCCACCATGTAAAGATAGAATAAAACTATTTCTTCTAAGAACTTTTATTCAACATTCAACTAACTTAAAATTAAAAACAAGTTAACAACATAGTAACCTCTGGTAACCATAGTCATATGAGTAAACATAAAAATAATTACTAAATCACATGTCATTTCATTAGAAGAACGGTTTATTTTTCATACCTCAATGAATGGTCAGGAATTAGGAAGCTTTTCTATTTTAATTATCACGGCTCAGACTAAAAGCGCACTGAGTGTAAAAGCAATATTCATGAAATTTTCCAGAGAAAGGCATTGATAGCAGAGAAGGAATGCTACTTGAATGAAAAAGTGTAGGTTCAACAACAAAATTTTAACAGCTTTCACCGTTTTCTTTTACAACTAGTTTAGCTTTAGATCCGCTGTAACAGACCTGGGGCTCTGGAGATCCATATATTCTAGGCTCCACACTAGATTGTTATCTTCCCTTAAACCACTTACAGAGTGTATACCAACAGAGGAAACCGGTAAAATCCTTGAACTAAAATAGAGACCCAGAAAAAAACAGGGGATAATGTGGGATTTTTGAAGCCATTCCGGGATTTTAATTTCAGCCATGAATAACTAAATTCGCCGTGATCGCAGAAGACTATAGTGGGAGACGACGATAATAATCTACAAAACGCGCGATATGTTCAGGATTTTGCCATGATCGCAGATGAGGATGATAATTTTCCTAGACCGACAAAATATACAACTTCGGAAGATATTTAGGATTTTGCAGTGATCGTAGATAAAGATGATAACCTTAGGTGAGATTTCAGGATTATGCTGCCGATGCAATGCACTATTTTATAGTAGCACTCATAACTTCACTAAACTCCTCAACTAGGTAGATAGTACATATAAAATATGGATCTACTTTTTGGCACAATAAGGAATAAGGCCTCCCGGCATAACCTTGTGACAATGTTGAAGTTGAATCTAATTTTTCTAATGATGCGTAATGAAACTGAACGTTTCAAAATGATTAGGTTACCTATTTATTTTGTACTAAAAATAAAAATTTAAAAAATACATCTAAAGGTGTGACTGAATGATACAGCATTGTTTAGTATAATTAATTTTGTTTTGGCAGGACATACGCGTGTGGGTTGTCTGAGTCTGACCTGACTGTCTGGCATCTTGAAAATGTAGATTGTGTTGTGCTATATCATCTGCAGAGAGAACAGCTGAAGCTAAACAAAGGCACCGCAGCTGTTTTTAACTAAATAGTTTCTAAGTTGGCTACTTAAGTTGTTAGCCGTGATTACAAAACTAATACTGTAGCTATAAAGTAAATAAAGTAAAAATAAATGTTGGGTTTCGTTATCGGAATCGACTTTTTGCAATCTAGTCTTGATTCCGATACCCATGTCCAAGTATCAGTGGTATCAATAATCGACACATCCCTAACTAAAATTCATTTTAGAGGTTTAAATTTGTTTTACAGTATATATGCATCAGGACGTAATTGATGCATCTGTTCCAATTTGATGCATCGTGATTTCGATGCATGCTAAATTGGATCCTGATTTGATTCATCAGATCAAAATTTCAATGTTCTAAGTTTAATTTATTTTTACATGTTCTATGTATTACAAGCTAAACTCTGCAAATTGTTTAATATTATAAAGAAGTAGCCTAAATCCTTCCTCTATTAAAATACATGAAACATGTAAAAATAAACTTTGAATAAGGCTCATTTAACATGCAGCATATCATAATTTTGAACAGCCATGATTTTTTGTAGGATCATCCATTTTTTGATTTTAGCCAATTTCCCATTTAGGGAATAAGCTATTACCGTAGTACTCATGATAAGACCTGGACCCGGGACCGATATATTTTTTTGTTTTGAGGTCCCTAGCGGCCAAAAACACTATCCGTTCAAATTATATATATACAGTGAACAGGTTTTTACGAACCCAGCGTGCTAATTCCAAAATATAGTGATTGTAAAAAACTAAACCTTAAACATTTAGAAGCAGTTTTTAGGTCACTAGAAGGTTTTTTTTTGTTATTAACAGTCGTATCATGATCCCTTCCATATCCGTTCGTGGTGGATACCTTCCATATCCTCATGTCTCAGGTTTAGTTACCTTCTGGACAACCAGAAAAAAAATCTTGTCTCTTGTTTGTATTTGTTATGTTACAAAATGTAAACATCACTCACTTACAACCATGTGTGAAGTGACAGCAATATTTACTTAGGCACACTCTATGGTGCAAAATAGCCGAAACAGCTGCGGCAATTATTATTGCCAACCACAAAAACAAAATAACCCATTTGTAATGCAGTGTAATGTTTATTAGCGTATTATAAACATTGTGTATCAATTGAATTCGCTTTTTGGACGGATATATCCGTCTTTATCCCAGAAAAGAAATTTCTCGGGACGGATATATCCGTTTTCAGCCCGGAAAGTAAACAGAGATTGACGGATATATCCGTCCATAGCCCTGGAAGGGTTAAATTTTTACTTCAACTTCAACTATTTAACTTTTATTTATAACTGTAGTTGAATCAAAACTTTGACTTCAAAAGATTGTTCCAACTTGCACTTTGTTGACAGCTGACTTTGGTGCAAGGGGACATCACTGGCATGACAGCTGAGGCTTTAGTCCATCCAACTAATGCAATTCTAGCCATGGTGGGAGAAGTAGGCCAGGCCTTAGAAAGAAAAGGAGGCAAAGACTTTTTGCAGGTATAATAACTTAACTTAAGTAATTTTGGTCCGATTTTGATGAAATTTGACATGAATGTCTAGAGCTGGATAAACCTTAATTAGCTCGCAAACCAGCAAGATCGGTTCAATGGAACAGGTGTTAAATGTTTTTTTAGCGAATTTATGAATTAATTTATACATATATATATATGTGTCCTTTAGCGCGATCGATAACTCAAGCAAAAATGATCCAATTTTGATAAAATTTGGTACAAACGTGTAAACCTACGTTTATTCAAACGAGTTCGCGATCCAGCATAATCGGACCATGGAAAGGGGGGTTTATGGGGGGTTTTAAAGGGTAAAAATGGGGTTTTTCCATTTTTGAACCTAAAAACAACAAATTTTGCAATTTCTTTTCAAACCGTTTTGTAGAGCTTAAAAAAAGAAATAATTTAGTATTTTGAAGCGCTGTTGTATGCCTAATGGTCACAGAGAAAATTCTAAAATAGTGTAATTTAAAATTCCCATGTTATTCTTATGGAGAAAATGAAAATTGTTGTAGTTTACTTGTTTATGAATATATATTGATAACATTTGGCAAATTTAATTATTTCATTCTATACTATTGACGTATGGTCAAAAAACACTTTTTAGCTTCCCTGTAGCAGCAAACCTCAGCACTCATTAAATCTGATGTTATTTGAACTAGCTGTTACCATAGATAAAACATACTCCCTTAGTAGATTTCTCATCCTTATGGAACAGCTGAAGACAATTTTATTGTTAGTTCTGTACGGTTTTCTGTAGAGGTCGTGTTTTGTTTACAATTTGTTTCCCGTTATTACAGCCATTTAAAACCTCGTTTAACCAAATAATACGATCTAATCATAACCAATAACCTGTCCCCTAGTTATATAACCAAACAGTAAAGCACAAATCAAGAAATTAACCCTAAAATAATAGAAACAAAGTTTCGTCGACACTAGCGCCCATGTGTCACGTACATGAACTAGATACGAAAAACGTGCTTCAAAATTTACAATGGGATGAGAAGTCTACTTGTGTTGGTTAGTCTATGCTGTTACCCACGGGCTTTACCCCGTTTGACTTCATAAGTATTAATAAAATTATTGATTGGTTAAGTTAAGCTGAAATAAACCAAATAGAATAGGTACAGTAATACAAACAAATAAATACAGCTGAGGTATTAAACATTAGGTATATGGAAAGTTCCCTTTAGAAAGGAATTACGATCTTAAAGGTCAATTTATGAAACAATGGATAGTTTTGCGCAAGGTTTCTCGTCATGACGAACATTTTAAGTATATGGTTTATGGGGGTGTGACTTGTAGTTTTCTCAAAAGTTCATGGGTACTTTTGGCTTTATACAGTAGAGCCCCTCATATCCGGCCACCATGGGACCAAGCCCCTGGCCGGATAACGATTTGGCCGGATAAACCAACCTACTATGAAAATTACAATTCATAATAGGTAATCAAAATATGCAGTCAAAAGTATCATTCCAGTCTGTTCTGGGATTAAAAATAAAATAAAAAAAGTTTGTAAAAAGACAACAAATTATTTGTAGGTTAAAGTTGTTAAGCAATGAAGCACGTACAGTACAAATATGATGATTCCAGGTAACAAAAGGTATTAAATGGTGGTAAAAATGACAATAAATTGGACTTGAAGATCGTTATAGGACTTAAATGGTACATGCATTTCAACTTTACATTCTTATCCATTTTGTGAAATACAAAGATTAATGTAGGTACTGTACTGTACTAACCCCGCTTTGGAAATAATCAACCAACTGATCAGAGGTTAGGGCTCAGAGGTTAGTATATAGTGACTCAGCAAATAAATGTATAAACAAACAGATAAATAATGAGAACAATTTGTTTGATGACTTGAGCAGTCACAAAGACTAGGTAGTGCTTGCATCTAAACGTCTGTAATCTGTGAGAAAAAATTTTGATATTGACTTCCTGGAAGAGGCCGGATAAACAGAGGACCGGTAAAACCAAGGCCGGATATGAGGGGTTCTACTGTATATAGACTAGTGTACCTCAATTGCGAATCATTACAGGCGTTATGTTAAAACAAATAACAGTCATAATTTCCGATGACTTTATAAGAGTCGACTCAAAGATTATGGAAATATTGGAAATACTCAAGATGTACACAGCAGTTAGATATAATCAAAATTTTTTGTAAATATCTTATCTTTTTTCAAAAGCTGACCTTGTTTTTTAGTGTTTTCTACAAATTTTCCCCACTCATAGCCGCATTAGGTTGTCTATAATAACGATTATAAATGAAAAAAAAACATTATTTCTATTTCTTCTACTGTACTTGGTTGTGTTCTATGACTTTCCTGTTTCCATTGTTTGCAAATCGGCTCTTTCAATTATTGCTCAAGAAATGTAGCACAGTGTTAATTCAGTTTTATTTTTAGTATAACAAATTGTCCAGTATTTCTCACTTTTTGCCATTGTAATTTTAAAAATTACACCAACCAAGTATCGTCTACTACAGATGCAATACGCCAAAGAATATCGTCTACGTGCAATCTCCAAGAAGTGGTAAAAAAGGCAGAAACCAACCCACACAATAGATATAAGCTAGCTCCATAAGAAATAATTTTAAGAGTTACTGTGATATTAGGATTTTCCACTGATTTGGTAATATAAAATTATATTGCAAAACATGGAACGATTCAGAAGAAAATCAATTTTAAAATCAGAAAAAACCCATTGATTTTGTCAAATTTAGTAAATCACAATTTAAATATTAACAGCTGTTTCATTCAAAAGTAGTGTAAATGTATGCATATGGTCGTAATGTAAACAAATCTGAAGAGGGAACTTTAAAGGCCACTGGGGCAGAGCCCCAAGGGAATTTACCACGCTTCTCTTTTGATGGCTCATCTACAGACCAAGACCTTTCTTTAGAGACCCCTACCGAGTTTCTAAACTCAGCCGTTCTCTCAAATTAGCTGTCACAAAGAAAAACAGTTTCAAATTAATATATAGATAGGGAATAAATATGTCTTATTTATGGAAATATTTTTGGAAAAATGTAATCAGACAAGTTGAAATTTGTTTAGTCTGCAGGATTGCCAGGGGTATATTTTTTTTGTTTTTTTTTGGGTGGGGTTTATGGTATTATCTACTCCCAGCTACTACAGCCTGTTGACCTGTGGGGTATGCACTTGACCAAAAGATTTCCTCCTCTTCTAACGTACAATCTTGGCTCGTGCATTAACGGATGGTAAAATAAATTGAGTTCTGTTGGTTGTCTTTTTGCTGAAAGCTATGAATAAAAAAAGTAGTTCCCTACAGGGAACTTGCCCAATAACTTCTTTGGTACTCCTTTTCTGTCTGTAAGAAACTGTGCCAGTCATCCATGTCATGTTTTCATACAAAATTCTAGCCAATATATTTGTTGTGAAAAGATTGTCAAGGTATAAAGTGTATCCTTTATTTAGAAAAATATCCCATCTCCAACAATATTTTACTACTGAGTAGCCTTGCCCCAGATGCTGAATTTATTCTCTGTTGTCCTAATATTTTGCTCCTTTATAGCTCTAACATTTCTAACAGTAGTTTGTCAAATCATCACCAATAACCCATAGTTTTATCCCCTATCTGTGGTGTTTTTTTAGCGAATTGCCCACAGGGAAGTAGCTATTACCGTAGGTGGCATGGTAAGACCTAGGCCCGGGACCAATTTACTTTTTCATTTTGATGTCTCCAGAGGCCAAAAACACCATACGTTCAAATTTATATATATATATATATATTTATTTATTTATATATGTCTGTGAACACGATAACTTGAATAATTTTTGTACGATTTTGAAGAAATTTGGTTTGAAGGTGTAAGGCGGCGGGATAAATTTGAATGAGTTAGCGAACCAGCATGATCGGACCATGGGAATGAGGTTTGGGGGGTTTACGGGGTAAAAATTGGTTTTTCTAAGTTTTGACCCTATAAACACAAAATATATCAATTTTTCTCCAGACCTTTTTAAAGAGCTTAAAATACTAATAATTTAGAATATCAAAATGTTTTTGTAAGATGACTGTTACGGAGAAAATTCAAAAATATTTTCACTTGCAATTTACATGTTATTCTTATGGAGAATATTGTAAAAAAATATTGTAGTTGGCTTGTTTATGGATATATTTTATTTTGATAAAAACCATGTAAATTTATTTATTTTATCCTACTAAATTATTATTTTTTTACTAAAAAAACACTTTTTTACCCTCACTGTAGCAGCAAGCCTAGATACATAAAACCTCAATTAAATACATTTAGTTGAAAATCAATTCAGGCAAATGGAAATTCGCTTAGTCGGCAGGTTTGTTGCGGCAGGGGTATTTATAAGATACTGAGTGAGAGCAACTCACTTTTTTGTGAGGTGGCTTAGTGTAATTACCGTTACCTGACGGATAAAAGCATTAAATTTGCTATGAAGGTACCTTATGGTATTTTAATACTCTTGTTCCTAATCCAACAAACCTGTACTGGACATTGCGCAAAAATGGTAAAACCAATTGACTTAAAATTTGGTATGGACTGTTGGTATCATATTTCAACATTTATATCTATTTGCATTCCAATTTCTGTAGGCCTCCTTTCTATTGATCTTCTATTTCCATTGTTCTTTTGTAATAATGATTTTTTTTTTAAGACATATTTACTAAATGACATTTTATTAGTTAGTATTTACTTAATCATACAGGTCAACGACGCGTACAGTATCACTTGTTTTAAACTCCCGAATAATCTGGTAAAAATTTTCATATTGGAAACGAGTCACCCTGCAAAGAATAGTATCCAATTCTCTAATACGAGCATTGAGCAATGCCTGTTTGTTTGCAAAATTTATCTCGATATCCAGAGGAAGGATTTCGCTGAAAGTTTGGGACTAGGTGCTTTTGGGACTAGAAAATCGATTGGTGAAAACTAATACCTTAAGAAAACTTGTTTTTTGCTAAAAACTCATATAAAATTAAAATTTGAAA